GCGTCGGTCCGCAGACCAGAGAGTCCCGGGTTTGGTTCCCGCTAAGGCGGTGTATCTCGGTTGCAGTTTGTCCCCGGCCCTGGTTGGGGTCTTGTGGGTGGCAACCAGTCGCTGTGTCTCTCTCACATCGATGTTTTTCTCTTTCTCTTCCTTCCTCTCTCCCTCCCACTCTATCTGAAGATAAATGCAAAAATATATATATGTACATATATACATATGCATACATGTGTACACACATACATATACATACATACACATGCATACATGTGTACATACATACATATATATAACCTCCCACCCCAGCTGCAGATCACCGAGACCGACGAGTTCAAAAAAATAAATAAAATAAATAAATAAATGTCCTTAGGGGCCGTGAGTGGGCCTGGTCCCCTGAGGGAGGTGGCTTAGTCCCACCGTGGATGTCCCACACAGAGCCCATCCGCCAGGCCTCCCCCTCCTGCAAGCAAAACCGAAAGTGGACGTGGACTTTGGAAGCAATTCTGAGAGTTGCTGACTTCCAATGTCGGTGTGTTGCAGTGGAGGCGGCGAGGCCCAGGTCTGCGGACGGACTCTGTCCGCTGCTCCTTTCTGTCCACAGGGGCCGGGCTTGCTGTCTGTTACCTTCCTTCGTGGTCCGGACTGTCCGGTCATTAGCCCAGGGAGCGGCATGGGCCCAGCTCTTTCCACCTGCCCACCCACTGCAGGGGACCTCCCAGCGTTCTTTCACAGCCGTCGATTGCTCTGGCATAGCTTCGGTGACGGGGACCTCACTTCCTCCTCGCTCTGCCCCTCACTGCGGGAAGGTCCCCCTTTTGGCTCACTCCTGTGGGCCCGTCACTTTCTCTCGTCTGTCCAGGCACCTCCACAGCAGCCCCCACCTTGACTCCCTGGGACAGGAGCCGCTGAGCAGCTGGGGCTCCCAGCTATTCTGGGCGGCAGCCACTCGGCAGTGTCCTGACGAGGTGCGTCTGAGGCCGTGTTCCCAGCAGCAGCCGCGGAATTCAGTCAGTGCGGCCATGGGAGCTGGGTCTTCCCGCTCACCCTTCTGCTGAAGCCCTGTTCATGTCTTTTCTACTTAATTGAATTTTATAGAAATTTCTCCTCTTTTATGCTTGTTTTAGTTTTTTTTTTTCTCTCTGCAGCAGACAGCAAAAGACTTGTGCAACCCATTTCCTAGCAGGCCTTTTGCAGGATTAGTCATTTTAAATGACTTCAATCTCCGTTTGAAAGTGATTTTTCTACTCATGTTGTTGTACTTCTTCGTGCTCTTGGGGAGGGGGAAGCCACGGGCCTAGCAGTAGTCACTGTTCCCCACCAATTTTCTTATGTGACAGTGCCCTCTCCCAGAGGAGAGGAACCATGCAAAATCCTGGCTCTCTTGCCTGCTAGCTGTGTGGTCCTGGGCAAGTCACTCAGCCTCTCTGTGCCTCAGTTTTCTCCCCTGTAAATGAAATAATGCGTGCACCTATCATTGCGCCGTGGAGAGGACCGAGTGAGTTAACGCGCAAGGCTCTTAGAAGAACGCGTGGCACACAGTAAACTCTAGACAAGCACTTACTTGGAAATAAGAAGGGAGCTGGCCAAGCTGGACTTTCCTTGAAACTGCCTTTTCCCTGAGTTCAAGTTGGAGGGGACTTTGAGGTCTGCAGTGGTGGTGAGGGGAGCGTGGCCGCTGGAAGGGAAGGGATCCTCTTCCCTCTGCCGAGGTCCCACGCCGGCTGCGCACACCCTGCGTGCTCTGGCCCGGCTCACGTCTCCATCGGCTGCAGAGTCTAAGTGCGTTTGGAGGGGTGAGCCAGCAGAGCCAGGGTGAACTCTGAGGACAAAAGGCCCTCAACAGGACCACGTGAGTCCGGGACTTTTTATGTCCATGTGCCCGGTTCCCCTGATTGGGCCTTTTCCGTGGAAGGAGCCTTATTTTAATTTCAGTTCAATTGATTGTAAATCTCAGCAGCTGACCAGTTTGTCTCCCAGAGCAATGGGCTCTGCTTTAATTTGGAAACTTATTTGTAGGAAAATACCGCCAACCAGACAGCCCCACAATGGTCCTGGAGCCTGTGGCGCCCTGCAGGCTGATCCTTTCTCTCAAAGCCCGATGGGGCCACGGGGAGTAGGGGCTTCGTCCTGGAGACCCCACGCTCCGGCCCCACCCCCGGGGCACCCAGCGGCTCAGCGCTCCACGCCTCAGCTTCCTCTGCCCAGAGATGGGCTGTTACTTCCCATTGCGGGGCTGAAACCTGAACTGCGGGGAGAGAAGCGCTTAGCGCAGCGCTAATGCCGTTATCACTCGCGGTGCTAATTAATGCTCATTATTGTCATTGGCCACACAGTGCTTTTTCTTCAGCGGCTTTATTGACGTATCCTTTGCATCCCTTCAAAGTCCCTTGTCTGAAGCGAGCCGCCCCACGACGTTCCGCCCATCTGCAGCGGCGCTGTCCCCACCCGTGCAGGGCGTTTCCCTGACCCCCGAAGGAGGCTCGTGCCCGCGCCCAGCCATGTCCTGCTCCCACGGGCTCGCCGCCGAGAATCTGCTTTCCCCGCCCACGTGCCCTCTCTGGACGTCTCGTGTCCCGGGATAATGTGACTTTCCACATTCAGCTTCCTCACCACTCCTCACAGTGATGCTCCGTTTTCAGATGTGGGAACGGAGCCTGGGGTTGAGGGACGTCCCTGGGCGGACGAATAAGCACAGGGATTGGGGCGTAGGTGCCCACTCTCATCCTCGGGCAGGTGGCATGGGCCCGGGAGCCGATGGGTTCCACTCTGCCTTGCTGGCCTCGGGGGGCCCTCCCCGAAACGCAGACAGTGGGCCTGTGCCTGCCATCCTGTCATCCTGTCACAGAGGAGGTCCACTCCACGGCTGCGCTGAGGCTGGACAGGGGTCCCTCGCCCTTTCCCACCTGCGCGGTGCAGTCTTCTTCGGCCGACCTGTGGGAGCTTGTCCGGACCTCTGTCTGGTCCCGGGGCTGCCTGTGGCCGGTCCGGGTACTGTCACCTCCTCTGTTCCCTTGTCTGTGCAGTGGGGGCCCTGGATCTCCGGATGGTGTCTCGGGAAAGTGCTCAGCAGAATGGCTAGGACGGCTCCGTGGCAGCTGGAGTGAGCCTGAGCGAAGGCATCGAATAATACAGAGCTGGTTGAGCCTGGCCCGGGGGCGGGGGGCCGGGCTCCCCAGCGCCCAGCTCCAGCCATCTCCTCCCTTGGGTCCCTTTGTCTGCGCCCCGTGGAGCCTGGCGGGAGCTGGGAGTTACCAGGGAGGGCTGGGCCGCCTCCCTCACATCCAGTCTGAGGTTTCGGCGCATCTGCATCCTTGCTGTCTGAAGCACCCCGTAATGTGAGGCCCCCAGGGGAGCAGGTGCCTCACTGGGGAGGGCGTTCTGGGAGGTGCCCGTGCCAGGCTGGGTGGCTGGGCTTCAGAGGTGGGGACGCCGCTGGAGAGGCAGGACTCGTGGCGGGAGCTTGGCCAGCGGGGGTCGGACAGATCTTCACACGGTCAGGAAGATCGGGTGTCAGGGTGCTGGGTGGTGGGTGTGGCCCAGGAGCAAGCTCAGAGCCACCCCGAGGGACCCTGCAAGGCACTCCGGTCAGGCTCGCTATCTCCTGATGTCTGGGGCTTGGCCTGGGACAGCAGAGGGAGCCGCGGGTCCCTGTGACTGTGAGTGTGAGGGCGGTGAGGGCGTGTGTGCAGGTGCATGTGTGTGCAGGTGCGTGTGTGTGCAGGTGTGGATGTGCGTGTGTGGGAGAGTGTGTGATGTGCGTGTGTTTGTGTCTACGTCTGTGTGAGAGCTGTGTGTGCACCCGGGTCTGCCTGAGCCTTCCCTTCTGGAGGGTCTGGGCCACGTCTGCGGGTTGGCTGGGCTGGCGGGGCTGGGAGGCGGGGCCGCCGCTGCGTCCTTGGGTTTCAGGAGCCAGATCCGTGTGTCCGAACCTGCGTGCTCGTCCGGCTCCCCTGCCGCAGAACCCTGCGGGACGTTTCATTCACATCTGAGTTTTAAACCCACTGGCGAAACTTGAGCCACGGACCGCGCTCCTGCTCCGGCTGGCGGGGCGCGCCCTCCGCGTCTCGGGGGCTCCGCGGGCTCCATGGCTGCGTCCTGGGTGCCTTTGTTTTCCCAGAAACAACAGCCCTCGTTTGTTTAGCTTCGTCTCCTCGAGGCTGGGTGGACCTGGGAGTGGGCTGGGGGCGGGGGGCTCCTGTCCCCAGGGAGGGTGGGCCCCACTGGGGATCTGTGGAAGGAAACGCCCACCCCCCACAGTGGATTTAGGGGTCCCCTAGGCTCTGAGCTCTGTGGCCATCTGGGTCCTGGTCCATCTTTGAATCGCTGTCACTATCAGGCTGTCTCCGGAGGCTTGGGTGGCCTTGGGCGGCTCCTGGGGTGGAGGGGAGCATAGACCCACCCCTTGGGAGGTTTGGGCGGGAACCTGCAGACCCTTCTCAGTGCCCTCTGCTCACTCCTGTGTGTGCTCCGTGTCCGAGGCCACGTGTCTGCCACCTGAGGGAACAGTTCTTCTTTGTCAGCCCCCCACCCCCGAACAACGGAGTGTCGCCCGGTCATTAACATGCACTGTGTTTTCTGCGAAGTTTCACCTGTGCCCCCTGGGACCAGGGAGTGGACTCTCCCACCAGGACTCGGGGCTGGAGGGGAGGCGACCCCAGGTCTGGTCAGGTGATGGAACTTGTCTCGTTTCCCGTGACTTTGTCCAGGCTGCCCCTGCGTCACTTCCCACGGGGGCACCTGGTTCAGAGGCCCGGGCAGGATTTGCCGGGGGGAAAGGCACGTCCCCTCCATATCCTGCCGCCCCTCTGCCACCCCCTCTGCAGGCGGGAGGGCCCTCCTGGCCACCGGCTTCCGGCCGCTGTCCCTCCCCACTCCCCTGCAGCGGCCGGCCAGCTGCACAGCCTCAGCCGGCGAGCTGTCGAGAGGCTGGCTCTTCTCTCTGTCCTTGTTTCTCTGCGGCCCTGGGAATTGCCTCTAATCTCCTCCCTGCCTTCCCTCTGCAGATGGTGACGACGACCCGCAACTCTCCTGGGTGGCCTCGTCTCCCTCCAGCAAGGATGTTGCGTCACCCACGCAGATGATCGGGGACGGGTGCGACCTGGGCCTGGGTGAGGAGGAAGGGGGCACGGGCCTGCCGTACCCCTGCCAGTTCTGCGACAAGTCCTTCATCCGCCTGAGCTACCTGAAGAGGCACGAGCAGATCCACAGCGACAAGCTGCCCTTCAAGTGCACCTACTGCAGCCGCCTGTTCAAGCACAAGCGCAGCCGCGACCGCCACATCAAGCTGCACACGGGCGACAAGAAGTACCACTGTCACGAGTGCGAGGCCGCCTTCTCGCGCAGCGACCACCTGAAGATCCACCTGAAGACGCACAGCTCCAGCAAGCCCTTCAAGTGCTCGGTGTGCAAGCGCGGCTTCTCGTCCACCAGCTCGCTGCAGGGGCACATGCAGGCGCACAAGAAGAACAAGGAGCACCTGGCCAAGTCCGAGAAGGAGGCGCGCAAGGACGACTTCATGTGCGACTACTGCGAGGACACCTTCAGCCAGACGGAGGAGCTGGAGAAGCACGTGCTCAGCCGGCACCCGCAGCTCTCCGAGAAGGCCGACCTGCAGTGCATCCACTGCCCCGAGGTCTTCGCCGACGAGAGCGCGCTGCTCGCCCACATCCACCGGGCCCACGCCAACCAGAAACACAAGTGCCCCATGTGCCCCGAGCAGTTCTCCTCCGTGGAGGGCGTCTACTGCCACCTGGACAGCCACCGGCAGCCCGACTCCAGCAACCACAGCGTCAGCCCCGACCCCGTGCTGGGCAGCGTGGCCTCCATGAGCAGTGCCACGCCGGACTCCAGTGCCTCCGTGGAGCGTGGCTCCACCCCGGACTCCACCCTGAAGCCGCTGCGGGGCCAGAAGAAGCTGCGGGAGGACGGGCAGGGCTGGTCCAAGGTGGTCTACAGCTGCCCCTACTGCTCCAAGCGGGACTTTAACAGCCTGGCCGTGCTGGAGATCCACTTGAAGACCATCCACGCGGACAAGCCGCAGCAGAGCCACACGTGCCAGATCTGCCTGGACCCCCTGCCCACCCTGTACAACCTCAACGAGCACGTGCGCAAGCTGCACAAGAGCCACGCCTACCCCGTGATGCCCTTCGGGGGCATCTCCGCCTTCCACTGCAACTACTGCCCGGAGATGTTCACCGACATCAACAGCCTGCAGGAACACATCCGGGTCTCCCACGGCGGCCCCAGCACCAACCCGCCGGACGGCAGCAATGCCTTCTTCTGCAGCCAGTGCTCCATGGGCTTCCTGACCGAGTCCTCCCTCACCGAGCACATCCAGCAGGCCCACTGTGGCGTGGGCGGGGCCAAGCTGGAGTCCCCGGTGGCGCGGCCTGCGCAGTCCTTCATGGAGGTCTACTCCTGCCCCTACTGCACCAACTCGCCCATCTTCGGCTCCATCCTGAAGCTCACCAAGCACATCAAGGAGAACCACAAGAACATCCCGCTGGCCCACAGCAAGAAGTCCAAGGCTGAGCAGAGCCCCGTCTCCTCCGACGTGGAGGTGTCCTCCCCGAAGCGGCAGCGGCTCTCGGTGAGCGCCGACTCCATCTCCAACGGCGAGTATCCCTGCAACCAGTGCGACCTCAAGTTCTCCAACTTCGAGAGCTTCCAGACACACCTGAAGCTGCACCTGGAGCTCCTGCTGCGGAAGCAGGCCTGCCCCCAGTGCAAGGAGGACTTCGACTCCCAGGAGTCCCTGCTGCAGCACCTGACGGTGCACTACATGACCACGTCCACCCACTACGTGTGCGAGAGCTGTGACAAGCAGTTCTCCTCGGTGGACGACCTGCAGAAGCACCTGCTGGACATGCACACCTTCGTGCTCTACCACTGCACCCTGTGCCAGGAGGTCTTCGACTCCAAGGTGTCCATCCAGGTGCACCTGGCGGTGAAGCACAGCAACGAGAAGAAGATGTACCGCTGCACGGCCTGCAACTGGGACTTCCGCAAGGAGGCCGACCTGCAGGTGCACGTCAAGCACAGCCACCTGGGCAACCCGGCCAAGGCGCACAAGTGCATCTTCTGCGGCGAGACCTTCAGCACCGAGGTGGAGCTGCAGTGCCACATCACCACGCACAGCAAGAAGTACAACTGCAAGTTCTGCAGCAAGGCCTTCCACGCCATCATCCTGCTGGAGAAGCACCTGCGGGAGAAGCACTGCGTGTTCGACGCCGCGACCGAGAACGGCACGGCCAACGGGGTGCCCCCCGCCGTGGCCAAGAAGGCTGACCCCGCGGACCTGCAGGGCATGCTGCTCAAGAACCCCGAGGCGCCCAACAGCCACGAGGCCAGCGAGGACGACGTGGACGCGTCGGAGCCCATGTACGGCTGCGACATCTGCGGGGCAGCCTACACCATGGAGGTCCTTCTGCAGAACCACCGGCTGCGGGACCACAACATCCGGCCCGGGGAGGACGACGGCTCGCGCAAGAAGGCGGAGCTCATCAAGGGCAGCCACAAGTGCAACGTGTGCTCGCGGACTTTCTTCTCGGAGAACGGGCTCCGGGAGCACCTGCAGACGCACCGGGGCCCCGCCAAGCACTACATGTGCCCCATCTGTGGCGAGCGCTTCCCCTCCCTGCTGACGCTCACCGAGCACAAGGTGACCCACAGCAAGAGCCTGGACACGGGCACCTGCCGCATCTGCAAGATGCCCCTGCAGAGCGAGGAGGAGTTCACCGAGCACTGCCAGATGCACCCCGACCTGCGCAGCTCGCTCACGGGCTTCCGCTGCGTGGTCTGCATGCAGACGGTCACCTCCACGCTCGAGCTCAAGATCCACGGCACCTTCCACATGCAGAAGCTGGCGGGCAGCTCGGCCGCGTCCTCCCCCAACGGCCAGGGGCTGCAGAAGGTCTACAAGTGCGCCCTGTGCCTCAAAGAGTTCCGCAGCAAGCAGGACCTGGTGAAGCTCGATGTCAACGGGCTCCCCTACGGCCTCTGCGCCGGCTGCATGACCCGCAGCGCCAATGGACAGGTGGGTGGCCTGGCCCCGCCGGAGCCCGCCGACCGGCCCTGCGCCGGCCTCCGCTGCCCTGAGTGCAGCGTCAAGTTCGAGAGTGCCGAGGACCTGGAGAGCCACATGCAGGTGGACCACCGCGACCTCACCCCCGAGACCAGTGGGCCCCGGAAAGGCGCCCAGACGTCACCAGTGCCCCGGGTAAGTGAGGCCGCTCGATGACCCCTGCCACTTGGGCCCTGCAGGTCCCCGGAGGAACCACCACACAGCCTCCTGGGGCGTCCTCTGGAGCAGCCCAGAGAAGCAGCTCTGTCCTGCAGCGGTCACGCACCTCTATGTTGCGGCAGATCCGAGTGTGAACCCCAATAGTGCCGTGTCCTCTCCAGCTGTGTGACATGTCCATTATTGATCTCGTTTCTAACTGCTCAGCTGTGGCAGACTTGATGTGAGGGCCCGTGACATCATCCCGGGCAGGGACGCGCAGTGGTTGACGTAGTGCCTGCCCCAGGCATGACGCTGTCATCCTTGCGATTGTTGGGAGGGTTTTCCCCTGCTGCTGGGTCTCCTGGGGACGCCGCTTTGCTATTCGGGCTGTAGATCCTCGAGTCTTTTCCTGGGCTTTATTGATTTTAGAGAGAGAGGAAGGGAGGGAGAGAGAGAGAGAGATAGAAACATCGATGAGAGAGAACATCGATGGGCCGCCTCCTGCACGCCCCCCACTGGGGATCGGGCCTACACATTGGGCATGTGCCCTGACCAGGAATCGAACCGGCACCGCTTGGTGCAGGGGTCGACGCTCAACCACTGAGCCACAGCGGCCGGGCAGTCTCCAGTCTTTTGAGAGTTTATGGAGATAACGCCCGCAGCAAGGGCTGGGCCTGGCCTCCAGGGCTCAGTCATGCCTGTCCCGATCACCAGCGGATAGGACTGGCATCATGCTAGGCAGTGCAGTTGCTGGTACACAGAGGCCTTGGAAATGGTCCTGTTATCATTAACGAGTCATCGATTTGTTCATTCATTCACCAAGTTTGTCCTGAGCCTAGCAGCCAAGGACCAGAAACGGACCTGCCGGGGGGGCCTCCCAGACCAGGGGAGTCACAGGCCCTTATCCAGTGGGTTTCAATGACGCAGTGGAACCTCGGCTCCTGGAGGGTCCACATGGGGCCTGGGCACTGCAGCCAGGGGCTCCTGATGGGGCACCTGGAGCCTGTATCGGACAAGGTGGCTGGAGACCCCTCCACGCAGCGTTCTGCTCCCAGATCGAGCAGGTGCCAGGCGCGTCTCGAGGGTGTCTTTCCCCGGAGGGCTGCTGTGGGTGCCACTGGCGGGGAGGTGGGGTTTAGGGAGGGGCCGCCTGCCTGCGGCAGGTGCCCACTGGAAGCCAGGGAAGTTTGCCGAGGGGTCTCACTGCGGGGTTAGAACTGGGGCCTGGACTCCAGGATTCTGGGGGGGTGAGTGGGTGAGAGAATGAGGGGGGCTGGGGAGTGAAGGCAGGCTCTGCAGTGGAAGGGACCGTGGGGGCTCCTGGCCCAGCTCCCCGAGCCCAGGTCCTGAACATGGGCCCTTCCCGGTCCCTGCTGCTCTACTCCGTCCCCTGGGCTTCAGCTTGCTGGCTGGCCAGTGTGGCGGACTTGGGAGCATCTGGGCTTGGAGTCAGGTGGGCTGGGTTAGCATCGTCTCTGCTAGTACCCACCTGTGGTTTGACCTCTCCGGGCGCTAGCCCCTGTCAAGCCAGAGGGTAACGGTAGTAATAATGGTCGTAGCAGGAGTCGTCTGCAGAGCTGACACCCGGGGGCCATCCTGGGTCTGTGTGAGCATCTGATGGGTCAGCGCCTGTCCCTCCTCATGCCCACGCTGTGTCTGGCTCTGAGGAGTCGCAGCTCATAGTGGACGGCACCTGTCATTCCCCCGTTTATAGCCACCACTCCCGTTATCAAGGGCTGAGGATGTCCGAGCAGGTGATCTATTCAGTCTTCTCCGCACCTCCCTTCACAGACAGGAGGCTCAGCTCGGGGCCGTTAGGGAGTTTGCCGCCAGCCCAGCTGCCGAGGGGCAGAAAAGGGCTGTGACCAGGTGGTGTGTGGTGCCACGGCCCGTCCTGCCCAGCGCTCTGGGGCTCATCCTGGCTGTGCGGGGTGCTGCCGGCAGGGGCAGGGTCCAGGTGGTCCCCTCCCATGCTAGGGCTGGCCCGGCTCTCCCCGTCCCAGCTGCACTCAGCCCCATCCCTGCCTCTTGGGCACTGCCAACCAGTGCCCCGGGGCTTCAGCCGGCCACGGGGGTGCCGGGAGCCCCCTCCTCCCCAGACTCAGCCCCGGATCCCACATCAAGTGCCACTTCCCAAAGCCCCCACTGTGTAGGTACTGGTTCTTCTGTTGTTTCCATGGCAACAACCCGGGAGCCTTGCTGTGACCTCTGTTTTGGCAGAGAGAGAATCCAGGCCCAGAAAGGTGGAGCCGTGTACCCCAGGACGCACAGCTGTGCGAGCCGGAGCGGGGTTCCAGACACGAGCGGGCTTCTTTGCTGGCTCCCAACAGGCCTGCCTGTCTCCGACCCGGGCCTGTGAGAGGAGCTGAGCTGACAATCCCAGCTGGGAGCCGGGCCGACGGGCCATGTGCAGAAGGGAGCTAGACAAAGCCGGCACCTCCCACTGGAGAGCAGCCTCTGGGGCCGGCCCCTGCCTGGGCAAGCCGGGGGCCGGGGCCCAGCTGTCTGCCAGCCCCTCCCCCTCCCCCAGGATGCATGCCTGTGAGAGCAGACCCCGGGGGCTGCGCAGGGGCTTGGGGGCTGGCAGGCTGGGACCCTCGGGAGTGTATCCATAGCAACCAGTTCTCGGAGGACTGGGTTCCCGTGGGGCTGAGGCTGCTGTTGGCTAGAGCATGAAGCGTTGAGGTTTCCGCCTCCCCCTCTGTTCATGGGTAATAACATCACCCCGACTCCAGACCCTCGCGGCGCCTCTCCCTGCCAGGTGGGGCACAGTGGGTGCTCCCACACTCCGTCGTAGTGCAGGGGAACAGACGTCCGGATCAGAGGGCTGGCCCTGGTCACACCAGCGTTCTGGTGCTCAGACCGGAACTGTCCGCGGTGGTCCGGGGCGTAGAGCCGAGATTGGCAGCTCAGACAGTGGGGTCCGGAGGGCCCTGCTGGGCCTCGAATCCCTGCACCGGGCTGTGGTCAAGTGGTTCAGCCTCTTGAAACGCCACGTTCTCATCTCCACCGCGGGGCTCGCAGAGCGACTGTGTGTTCAGAATGAACGGTGCCGGCACAGTGGGTGGTGGAAAACGTGAGCTGGGTCACCGTGACGGAAACGCAGCAGCTCTGGCTGTGTCTCCTCCCCTGCCCTCCTGACCCATCTCCGCCATTCTCCAGGGTGTCCTCTCTGCCCTGGGCCCTCTCTGAGGCTGCACAGGCCCCGGGGAGCGGCTGATGGCAAAGGATGTACTTCGAACGCCACATCCTGTCTGTGATGGCCTCCTAGGGCCGAGTGTCCAGAGGTGGAGAAGGGGACACAGACCAAGAAGAAGTGTTGGGGTGAGGATGGGGGCGGCTAAGGTCGCAGCAGGAAATCAAGGGTGAGTGAGAGAGTCTCCCCACTGCTTCTCCCCAGGCTCGTGTTCCACCAGCCGGGGGGCCAGACAGCCCTGTGCTCTGGACACGGGCCCCAACATGTGCAAGGCCACAGCACTGTCTGTGTGGGGCACCTGGGTGCACTCGTGTCTTAGTGGGTCTTGGTGTGTTGAACCTGTGTGTATGCGAGTGTGTGCATGCTTGTGCGCACACACGTGTACACAGTAGTCTACATGTATGTCCTCGGGAGTGCATATCAGGGTGCGGCTGTGCACACACCTGTGTGAGAGGCTGCTTGTGCATCTTGGGCACACTCGAAGTGGTAGACGTGGCCATCCGGTTCCGGTGAGGAGGCTGACAGCGTGTGTGTAAACTGTGCTGTCCACTCCTGTGTGGACCTGTGTGCCAGGGAGCTGGCTGTGGTGTGTGGTGTGGGGGGGTGTCCATGAGGGGTGAGTTGGGGTGAAGGTGAGCATGGGGTGTCGTATGTATGCTTGCACCTCTGTGTGTATGTTCTCATGTCTGTGTCCAAGCGTGTGTAGTTGGCCGGCTGGCTGGGGTGTGTGGGGGGTATGGGGGGTAGGCAGAAGGTAGGTAGGTGGAAAGACGGGTAGAGGAAAGGATGCAGGGACAGATGGATGGGCAGGTGGACTGGAGCACACTGGAGCCGGCAGCCTCCCTCGACTTCCTCTCCGTGGTCCTGCTGTGCGCGCACACCCGGGACGGGCATGTCCCCGAGCCTAGCGGGGGCAGCTCCTGTGGAATGGAGCCCAACCCCGTAACCCCGTCCCCAGGCGGAGAGCTGGCTTCAGAAGCAGGTGGGAGGAGAGTGGCCTGGAGGGACCTGGGAGGGGACCAGGCCATCCTGGGGAGTCTGAGCCAGGGCCTCCAGGGCTTCTGCTCTCTGCTCTCCTTCCCGACTGGCTAATTCCTTCCTTTTTTGGTTTCCAAACAGAAAAAGACATACCAGTGCATCAAGTGCCAGATGACCTTCGAGAATGAGCGAGAGATCCAGATCCACGTTGCCAACCACATGATCGGTGAGAGGAGGCGCTCCCGCCGCGCCGGGGCCACGCGCCGGGGGCCACGCGCCGGGGGCCACGTGCCGGGTGGGCGGTTTGCGGCTCCTTCTCCGGGCCACTGGCTTTGAGGGCAAGGGCTGGAGCCTGCTGCTGTCGCGGAGGCATCTCGATGGGAGCCAGAATGCAGAGCTGGGCTCGATCCCTGTCCAACCTCGGCCTCCCGGCTCCGCTCACGTCACATCCCTCCTTTGACAGCCTCTCCAGCGTCCCTTTCCCTGCATTTCCGGGGCAGGCGTGCTTCCATTTCGTCTGTCATGGCATCAAATAGGTTTCACTGCTCGTGTTTCCCCAGGGAACGTGGCGGATTCCTCAGGCACGTGGTCCAAAGGTCACCACGGTGCTTCTCTGCTGCTGGCAGGTGGTTGGGACTTTAGGAAACTGCTTTTCTGCAAGAGAGGCTTTCAAAGTCCCGCGTTGGCCCGAGGTGTGAGGGGAAGCCTGCCTTGGATGAGCGTGGTCCCCTGGCAGGGGTGAGCTCCCTGTGAGAGAGGGCACCTCTCTGCCGAGCGCAGGGGGCCGCGGGTTTGGCAGGGGCCCTCAGGAGCTTCTGGAATCCTGGTGCCCTGAGGAGGGGAATGTGACCACCTTTTCTAAGACCCTGCTGTCTGAGAAGTGGGGTGTCAGTCTCACGTTTAACATCCCGACAGTTACGTCCTCCCCTCTTCTCTTCCTCTAAATCTTTTCATTATAGTCTTAACAGCAGCCATGCCAATGGAGTGCTATTGTACGAAACCCTTTATTGACTGCATACATTGAAAAACTCCACCGAAGTGTACTGCTAATGAGTTCTCATGAACCGAGAACACCTGCGTATACAACACCCAGAGGAAGAAGCCGACCATAACTGCCCCCCAGAACCCCACTGTGTGGCCCTCCCCCCACCCACAAAGGTCATCTCCATCCTGGGGTCTAGCCGCATAGGTTGCTTTTGCCTGTTTTGTACAAAGTGAGATTAATCATACAGTTTCCGTACAGTGTACAGTATCTTCGCTGATTTATATTAGTGCCTGTGGTTGGACGTTGTCCCTTTTCACCGGTGTATAATATTCCGCCATGTGACCACCATTTATCTGCTTTTGATGGCACCTGGGTAGTTTCCATTTTTGAGTTGTTTCAAATTGCACACTTCCATGGACATTCTTGTAGGTGTGGTGAACATGCGCATGCCATTTTATTATTATTGTTTTTAATTTTTTTTTTTCTTTTAGAGAGAGTGCAAGGGGGGGAGGAGAGAGAGAAAGAAAGAGAGAGAAACGTCTATGTGAGATGGACACATCTACTGGTTGCCTCCTGTATGTGCCCTGACCAGGACCTGGGATTGAACCTGCAATCCAGGTATGTGCCCTTGACCGGGCATTGAATCCATGACCCTTTGGTCCAAGGGCCAACATTCTAACCGCTGAGCTAAACCAGCCAGGGTGCATGCCATTTTAAATGGCTGTCTCTAGGGCTGGCTGGCTGGGTCATAGGCTGTGAGGAGGCTCACCTTCAGGGGGTCCTGATAAATTTTCAGAGTGGCTGTATGACATCATACTCCCACCAGCAGGTGTGCAAGTGACTGCATCTGTGCTCAGGGCGAGTATGGTCCCTGGTCCCCACCCAGCGGCAGCCTTGCCGTGCTCCGTGGGTGTGGGCGCCCAGCATCCGAGAGACCCAGAGCCGGCCCCCTGGAGGCGGGGACCCTGACCGTGTGTGGTGGGGCTGGCCCCGTGGTGAGGGACAGGAACAGCCCAGGGAGACGGCTCTGTAACGTGTTCCGTTTGAAAGTCCCCTGCTGACGTCGGAGGAAGCCTGTCAGTCACTGCTGCTGGGCGCGCTCAGGGCGAGTGCAGGAGGTGGAGATGAAGCTGTCTACCGACGTCTGCTTTCGGAGCAGGTGTTACCGTGAGCGGCTGTCTGCAAGCGCGAAGGGCAGGGCCTGGCTAATTGGACCTCAGTGACTTCAGCGGTGCCCCCCTTCTCGTCCACCTCCTTCCGTCGGAACCGGGGAGCTGTGTGGTGTCTTCAGGTGGAAGGAGAGGGGTCTCCTCTTAACGAGTGGGGGGAGGGGAAAGGAGGGTTGGTGGGCCTGTGTGTGAGCGGAGGGTCCTGTCTTGGGGGGCCCAGGGCCCCTCACCCGCGCCTGCCCTGCGCGCTGTCTGCTGGAGCCTGGGAGCAGGCAGCAGGAGCTCAGGTCTCAGAGCCTGAGATTTCGGCCTGGCCGTTTATAAAATGGCAGAAGGTCTCACCACGCAGGCCCTGGGCCCGTGGGCACGGGGCACAGGCGGGCGGCCCCACGTGAACTCTACGCCTTCTCGCTGTAGCCCGTCCTCCCCTGGCCTCATCCACTTGATTGATTGAAGAACATCGACTGAACCCCAGCTGCAGGCCGAGCACTGAGGTCTCGGTGGGTGCTCGAAGCCCAGGGGACACAGCCCTGTCCCCTCCGGCATCCCACGCAAGACGCCACAGCACACACCCTGCGCAGCAGAGGGGGAGGTGGCGCTGGGTCAGGAGGCCAGCAGCGGCCGTGGCTGAGCCCACCCGTGCCAGGTCTTTCACAGGTGCTAGTCGTCCGTCTCACGAGGAGGTTGAATGACTCACCCACGTGCTTCCAGCAGGAATCACAGGAGCCGGGGCCTGAGTAAGAGCCGGGCTCTCTTGTCTTGTGGTTCTCCGCCAGGGGCCTGTGGTGGGAGAGACCCCACTTGGCACGGTTGTGGGGGCTTGGCAGCAGCTGGGTCTGTGTGTTCTCAGCCCCCACCAGTCCCTGTTGTGTTTTAGGGGGATACTTTGTATCCCCAGCCTGGTCTCTGTGGCACCTGAGTGTGTAACCTAAGGCTTATGCACTAGGGAGCCATTGAAGGTTCTGGAGCAGGGTGTTTCAGGGGTGTCAACCTGGCGGCAGGGTCGAGAAGGACAGGAGAGAAAGAGACCCGTCTGGTCTGGCCAGAGATGAGGGGATGAGGCAGGGGTCAGGAGGGCCGGGAGGTGAGAGACTGTATTTGGCCTGTGTTGTGTACCTCATTGGCCTGGTGGCGGGGGGCAGAGGGAGGTGTGAATGGAAGAGAACCAGGCACCGAGCCCTGGTATGGGAGGGGGGCTCTGGTTTCAGGCAACACCGTTGGGGCCCAGTGTCTCTGTGGACAGCTTCCCCCGCTAAACGGCCTGAGCCCAGAGTGGCCGCTGGAGCTGACAGGGGCCAAAGCCCCCTTAGTGGCACCAAGGGGACTCAGCTGGTAGAAGTGGCCTGTTCAGCTTGGTGGCCCTCGCATAAACTTGGGGCACCGGGGGTCTAAAGCAGGCCTCCCCACAGACCGGGGCTGCCGGAGACCTCCCCTGGGGGCGCTAAACAGGCCTTTTTATAGCGGGACGCCTCTTTGGGGCTTTGCAGCCGCCAGACCTGCAGTTATGATGACTCAGGGACACGTCTCCTTGGAAACATTCCCCAGCACCCCTCGCCTGGCCGCTGCTGGCCGGGAGCTGTGTGGCGCTCACAGACAGGCACGGTCTTTGGAACCTTTTGGGCACTGAGGTCTCCTCTGAAATGCCCCCTCGCCCAGGGACTGAGGTCCCTCTCTGGGCTTCCCCAGCTTTTCGACACCCCTCACCTCACAGGCACGTCACACACGTGGGACAGCCCACAGCTCTGTTCTGCTGGCCTCCTGCCCGCATGGCCGGCTCTGCCCAGCCTGTCCCCGCCTCCCCTCAGCCTCCAGGGCCACTGCCCTCCCCCAGTGCTGGGAGGACGCCCCCTCTGAGGGGCTCTGCGGGTGCCCACCTGCGCTCCCTGGGGCCTGCTGAGCCAGAGCTGAAGGAAGGGTTGTGGGAGGCTGGCCCAGGCAGGGCCCCCAGCGGCTGGGGAAGGGGTGTCTGCCCTTGTGTGCTGAATGTGTGCGTACAGGGCGTGTGCAGCCCTCCGAGGGCACACGGGGCCGCAGACTTCGAGGAGTGATTTGCAGAGTTCTGCTCTCCTCCTCTGCTTGTGGGCACCTCCCCTCTCGGCCCTGACGGATGGGCTAGAGAAGGGGTCTGAGCACTTGTCCTTGAAATAATGATCTTGCTATGACTCAGGTTGGCCCCCAAGGGGGTGACTCAGCCTCTGGGCTCTGGTGTCCTTACCCAGGGCTTCCCGGGTCCTGGGGGAGCCCCGAGGAGGTCAGGGCTGGGCAGGGGCAGTCCTCGGGAACCTTGTCAGGGATGCTTGCCCTTCATGTCCTTGGAAAGTGACTCTGGGCCTTGGGGCGGGCAGCCAGACCTAGGCCCATCCCCTGGGGGCACCGGTCATTCTGGAGACGTTATTTTCTTGGTCACATCAGCCCTTCCCCGGGGAGTCTCGTAAGGGCTGGGCTTTGCTCTTGGTGGTGACGGAACAGGCATTTGGAAGATCAGCCTCTGATGCCTGCTCAGGCCAGGCCCACTGCGCTGGGCGGGGTCCTCGTGTGCCCTCTTCTCTGTGAGGGGATGGGCCCTGGCGCACGGGGGGGGGGGGGGTCTGCTCAGGGCGTGTGTGAGAGAGCGGGGGAGAGGCTGTTCCGCCTGAGTCTTCAGGGAGCACACCCCTGTTCCAGGTGGAACGCCCCCGTCCGGGCTGGTCTCCTTCCTTTGCAGCTCTTTGCACCCCCGGACCCTGGCCGAGCCTGGCCTGTGGCACGGGGTGGGGTCTGGTGGGGAGATCAGTCTCATCCTCACACCGGGGAGTACAGAAACCTCGAATATAGCTGCAGAGAAAGACACGTGGAAAGGAAGGAAAAGGGGCTCCTGGCTGTTTTCCGCCAGGAGCGCGTGTTGCTGAGCATGGCTGTGGGGTTCTTCATGATGCTTTGAGTCAGGTAGCGCCGGGCCCAGAACACCTGTCGGACTGCGTCTGTGACAGAAACGCCTCCTCCCCGCACAGATCACGGTTCAGGGTCGGGAACGGCTCTGTCACAGTGACAAGCTGGACAGAGAGCCTATAATCCAATTCTTTCTCCTTTTTG